AAAAAAAATTCTTCGTCTAGAATAGGCTTTATTTATATAACACCTGAATTAGCGCTTAACATACTTGATTGCAAAACTGTACAAATAAATTCTTCCATCACAGACCATTATGTTATTTTGACAAAAATTATTAACTTTCTAAAACACTCAGTATCTACAAGGAAAAGTCCAGTCAAGTCTTCCTTCAATAATAATCTAATGGATAATTCGAAATGGTCTAAATTTAAAGACAACTTGGATAATATTTTAAATTCCAATTCATTGAAACATATTTCTTCCAATACTGTCTGATCCCAAAGTATTCTTAACTCCTCTTGGGACCTTTTTCAAGACACTCTTATCTCTGTGGCAAAAAAATGCATTCTGATACATAAAGCAAAAAATTATCACTCTTTAAAGAAACCCATCGCCCTATCAAAATTGTACAACAATATAAAATTACTCTATCGTTTTAACAAAACTACAAAAAAGTGTCTAAAAAACCTCTTTATATATGACAAATGGAATAATCTATACTCACAATTTTTACAACTTGCTCATATCAATAGTTTGCATAGTATTCCTTTAAATTGTTCTTCTCACATAACAATGCTTAACACTATTATTCCAGATATCAAAGTTCTTCTAGCAAGTTTCAAATTAAAGGCTGAACTGTGTGAACACAATTTCAAGCTTAAGAGTATACAAGAAGCCTTAGACACCCGTGTAGAAGACTATAAACACAATCTATTTTGAATAATTGATTCAGTCCTTAATCGCAGAAAAATGACCATTATATTGGATAGATGCATTGATAATTCATCTTCACCTCGTCATTTACTTTTTGAGAAACTGGATGTTAAAAAAGAAGTTTCTAGACATTTTCAACAAGTTGCTGGTATCACACATCGTACTAAAGTGATCCTAGAGGAATGGATTTCTACATACACCCCAATAGACTCAATTGATCCCAGCATCTATAACAACTTAATGTCCTTACCTTCTGCGGATGAATGGCATAGGATCATTGATCGACTTTCTAACAATAAAGCTTCAGGACTATCAAAGATTTCAAATGAAATGTTGAAATATTTAGGACCGATCACAAAGAAATGCCTATGGTACATCATCTGTGGCTGTCTGCATATTTCATCTATACCTTATCGCTGGAATCTGGCATACATATATCCAATCCCTAAACTAAAACTATGGGAATACGATCTAAATAACACCCGACCAATAACCTTATTAGAAAGTGTCCAAAAAGCATTTGTTCGTCTAATCAATTCAAGACTTGCTGCCATTTTTGTTCAACACAATATTCTTAAAGGATTTAATTTTGCAGGCTTGCCCTTCAAATCTACCTTTGACTCTATACATATTTTTGATAATATTAAACAGAATGCTGTTTATAATAATACAGAATTGTAGGTTCTGTTACAAGATATGTCTAAAACATATGACTGTGTGAATGTCTTCATTCTTGCTGTGGCCCTTACAAGATTACGCCTCCCCTACAAATTCATCCAAACAGTTTTGAGATTATTTCTCCCTGATTCAACCAAATCTTCACAGCCCATGGCAATTCTGATACGTACTTAGTATAATCAGGAATAGACAAAGGCAAAGTTATATCACCACTTTTGTGGTGTATATACTACGACCCACTTTTATGCGCTATCAACAATTCTTCACATGGATTCGTTACAGAAATCGAATGGCGTCCTAATGCCCGTCTTCCTTTTACTAATATCTCTCGTCTTAAGATTCCAGAACTCGCTTACATAGATGATACCCTCTGGCTCGCTAAATCTAGAGAGGACCTCACGAATATTACATCTATCGCAAACAGCTTCTTCGCTTTTAATGATATACAAGTGAATTAGTCAAAATCAGAACTTTTGGTCAACGTTTTCCAATAGCGTCCTTTTGCAATCAGTCATGATAATACTACATAGTCGATTAATGCACTTTTCCCAAAAGCTAGTATTCGTTACTTGGGTGTTTGGATCTCACTCAAGTCTAACAAGAGTTTTATTTATAACCAGATACACAGTAAAATTAAGAAGGCCATTACTATTATGAAACATAAATGCCTCACAGACTCACAATTAATTTACATTTTTAACACTATCCTCCTTCCAAGAATCGAGTACAGGTCGTAACTTACATTGCTGTCTGAATTACAATGCAAAAGCTTTGTCGCTACCTACTTAGCCTTTGTCAAAACTAAATTAAAACTTTTCAGACACACTCCAACGGATTTGTTCCATTCACATTACTTTTACAATCTGACCTCCTTATATCAAAGATTAATCCAGAATTTCAGCAATGCTTTACTACAAATGTCTAATGAAACAAATATATTTGGAAGATCCTTTTATTTACGTACCCTCTAACTTCAACAGAAGGAATGGCTCTTTGATAATCCTCTTTTTTACTGGCATTTCTTAAAAACAAAACGAGATGATGATTGGCTCCCATCTCTCCTTTGTTACCTTAAGTTAATGAAACTCAAACTTAATGTACCCTTATCTTTAACCAATAGAATTATGGGAGAAGATTCTCTGATCTCTGAACTTTCAAATTTTGAATACAGAAAGTACACTCCTGGGCTAAGTAAATTCTCCTTGCTCTTTATGGAATAACTCACCAACTATCAAGGAACTATATGTTCACATTTCGTGATCTGTATACTATCACACATCCGATTATCTGTAGTTTTCAAACTGCAAGTTAGTTTAACGCTCTAAAACTTCATCTTAATCCTAATCAGGACAGAATATTATTATCTGCATATCATTTCAAACACAAATCTTATTACGGATACTCCATCAATCCTCCTACATATTCTTACCATACCCCTGGATTTGCAGTTGGTTGGCATACCTCAGTTAATTATTTCGTCTTGGGAAGGATTATTAAAATTGATCAAGACACAATACATCTAATGCATCACATACTTTCAATTGGACCTGACAATATAACAATCCTCGATCCTTGTGTCTGTTGCCGAATTCATCAAGAATCCGCTATCAAATTTAGAGGCTATTACGACAATTGTTACTTCATGTTACCCATCTCTTTTTGTGTAAGAATTCCTATCTCTTTAAAAAATGATTGTATTAACCGAACCCATAGTGTAATGTCCAACGGTGCACTGTACGAATTTGCTTTAACGTGTTTTTTAAAAAGTAGCAACCAGAGTTTATTTGTAACCTCAAGTAACTTTACTGCACCTACCTTCATAAATTTTTTTGACAAATATTTGTCACCTCCATATAATTCCCACTTATTAACTCTATCTCATTCCTTTTCCTCTTATTCAGTTTTAGAATTTTACACAGATGGATCTTTATAAGACTTAAGTCTTCCTTCAATAAGAATGGGTATAGTTTGATTTCAGACTCACCAAAATTCACCAATGATTTCCTTTTCCGCTGCCTTTGCATCTTCTTTTCCTTCCTCTTTACTACCTGAATTTGCAGCTATTTTTACTGCCTTACTTACAGCTCTCCCTTCCTGTAATGTTACCTTTTATACTAATTCGGCAGTCATCATCTCTCAATTCAACAAATACAGATTTCTCCTCATAAAAGCTTCCACTGTTCGCCTGCTCTCAAAATTAATAATTATGTTTATTGGTCTTGTTTTTTTGAAATAATGGACACTCACAACCTTACTGTGAAAATGATTAAAGTCAAAGCTCACACTGATAACATCTTCAATAACAAAGTCGACACTCTATCAAAATCTTGTTTGGACATCACAGCCCTTCACCTCTATACGAATAATGCAACTCAATGCTATTTCACACATAATAATGCCCCTGTCTTAATTCCTATTAGACAATTTTGCAAAGAATTGTTCTGTGAACGCTCCCTCTCACAGTTATTGCAACTTTCTGTCCTTGCAAAACACTCACAGCTCTATCAAATTAATTGGTTCGCAACCTCCTTTATACTCAATAACAACATGGCAACACAATCAACGTCCTTCTCTGCCTTCTTTGTTAGAAGAATGAAATATCAATATCTTCTTGAAATGTTACCAACTCTCAAGATCCTCAAATTACGTCATCCATCTATTTACGACTCTTTGCTCTTGTGTCTCAGATGTGATGCCGCTGACGAAAACTTCTATCACATATGGATGTGTCTCACTATCAATCATGAAATGAAAAAGATAATCCAACAATCCAAAAATTATTTAAAAGACATCACCAATGCATATGATTATGAAATTGACCAGTTGAACTGTTGGTTGCTCGATACTTATAACACTTCTGAATTTTTTGCTCTCATTAGAGGCATTATCCTAGTACTCTTTTTAAATTTTTCCTAAAAAAACTCTCATCGCAAAATTTAGCTTTAGCTGCTTGTTCCTCCTTCATGCATCAAATTTTTAAACTCACATAAAACGTTTGGCACGATCATTGTCAAATTGTTCATGATTTTAAAAAATCTTCCAACATTACCCTTGATTCAAAGGCTGCTAATTTTGTTACTTCAGGTTATGATCTATCTTCTAACCTTTCTATTCACACTTTCAGTTCTTCTCATATATCTTCGATGATACGGATGAGATCCCATTGGTCAAATTTTTGATGCAGTAGTGGCCTCGCCTCCTCGCTTTCATATATATTTTTACTCGAAAAGTGATTTTTTTAGCTTAGGTTATAAATTGATTTTGGGGAAGTGCAGGGTCAGTCTTTTATAGTTTTAGTCCTAGATTAGTTCTTTACGAGATTTCTGTAATTTCTTTTGATTTGTATTTAAACTATTTTCTTACTCTTATAATAAAGATATTGCAAAACTATTGCACTTTAAAAATAAAAAAAAAAAATATTTATTTTTTTTGTGTAAAAAAACTCTTTCTGCTTTTCCAACAATTCTGCAAAAATGCCAAAAAAAACTGAAAGGAAGAATACCAACCGCGGTCACTCTGCATTGCTAATATCTGATAAGTTACCAAAAAAGAAATAAAATACTCAGCAAAATTTAGACAACAACCTCCCTTACATATGTAACAGAATCAAATATAACTGTCCTTCTAGAAGAAACTAATACTATAAAAGTTGATCCAGTCGAAGAAAGTTTGTCCAATAATCTCGATAAAAGAAAAAGTCCTTTAGTTATTACTTCAACTTCAACCTCTAAAACTACTGCACCTAAACTAACAGTTAGTGTCGACGAATCTTTTGACACATCAAAAAACATCTTAGATACTTCAACTATCGGCTTTGATGCTCCTTCTATCCAAATCACTAAATTTTTCACGTTTATTCTAATGAATAAACTCCGTGGTCTAAACCCCCAAATGAAGATCTTGAAGATCACCGATTTGTGCTATAATAAATATAACTCATTTATCATTGCCACAAAAGGAAGACATCCTACTGAGCATAACCAAGTATTTATTAAAGTTGCCTTTTTGGACAAAATTGAACATGATGAATTTTGCAAATACAAATCTCCCAATATGGATGAAACCACGTTCTAACCCCTTGATATCAAAAAATCTGCACCTTACTTACCTGTTCTGTCAATCATGGTCACAATAATTCTACTAGACGCAATAGAAATAAGATTACAAAAATTGTTTTCCAAATTTGGTAATATCGTTCAGTTTACTATGGAAACGAAAAATCTTTAGCAAAGAACCACTATCACTTTTGTCGAAAAGACTAATTTCAAAAAATTAAAAAAAGGAGACAGGATTTATCTTCTTAATAACATGATTCGCTATTACTCTTGTAGTCTTTCTAGGCCTGATATTTAAGCTCGTTCTGCCTTTTCAGCAAAACTAACAAATCTCCCTTGTAATATTACACTATGTAACTTCCAGGATATTAGAAATATGGTCTCTGCAACTGCGTGAATAATTCCTAGAACTTGATTTAATTACAATTATCTTCAACACGCCTTCTATTTCTCTAATAAAGAAGATTCTTAGGCAGCTATAGGAATCAAGAATCTGACTTTAAATAACAAAAAATTGGAATGGACTGACCCAAAAATCAAATTTTGTGCAGTTTGTTCGTCTACACATCACAACGCTTCCATCTGTTCTAGATGTAATCAATTTTCTAAAGATCGCAACATGCAAAGTCTTTATCAGCACTTCTAACCAGCTCAATTCAACAATTACACAGCACCAAAACGTAGTCCCATACGAGGCGCTGTTTGTGAAAACATCACTTTTGCTCACATGACTAAAACTTCGCAACAAATTATTCATTCTCAAGAAGGACCTAAAAGGAGACCTCCCCCACCTCCATCTCCTAAAACAAAAACTAATACTTCTTATAATAATTCTTCTATTGAAAAACTGAAATTTCAATGGGCTGACGATCCCGTAGATGAATTCATAGAAACTGCAGTTCTCCCTACCCTAAAGTTAGATAATGGTACAGCGAAAGGCAGCTCAATTCATAACTCAGATTTCAAACAATTTGTCACATCTTAACTCACTTCAATTTCCAATGCTCTCTCTGACCTCTGTGTCGAATTTAAATTTTCACAACAACGTCTTGTCGTTATTAAAAAAGCCCTTCACATTCAAGTTATTACTCCTGCTGAGGCAGACAATTTTAACAACATCCTACCTGACTCTACCTACATATTAATACCGATCTTTGTACCGTTCAGCTTTAAAAACAATCCAATGAATAACTAGTCCTTATCTGTCAAAAACAATAACAATGAATTTCACAATTCACTTCCAAACTCAATAAGTTACTTAGATCCTATCATGATCTCCAATCTACACTACTCAACAAAAATATTCTCAACAAACATGATACACAAATTTTTGAACTATTGACTAATGATTTTGACAAAGCCATTAAACGCTACATCGGCAGCTTCCCAAATTAATTATTATTTTATCATGAATACTGTCTCTACAACGAACAATACTAATACTCCTAGTTCTCACACTCCTTTTATACCAAATCTTATAATTGCCACTTATAACGTCCATTTTTTAAATGACCCAACAAAACAAAATTACCTTTTTTTTTATATTCAGTAAATCAATTCGACATCATAGGCCTATAAAAAACAAATTTCAAAGGAATATCATCCATTTTTAATCGCAATTTTCCAAATTATACTACTTTTTTAGCGACAACCATAACTTCCAATCAATTGAAACTGGTGTTAGCCTCTCTTTCAGCCCATTATCGTTAAACACATTTTTGCTTATGACTTTATGTTAGATAAAATTATTTATATAAAACTTCAATTTGCAAATAAACAAAAATTAATGGTTATTAACTGTTATATTCTGCCCGCCAACCCTCCAATAAACATCACAAAACAATCCATTGTTCTTTTAAAATGATTACTAGATGATGCCATCAAAAACAATTTGCATATTAATCTCATTGGAGATTTAAATGCTAATATAGACTGTATTAACAACTCTTCTTTTAATCTAAATTTTGTGAATTCCCTTAACAACTACGATTTATACGATGCGTTTAACATCTAATTTAAAAATGACCAAAAATCATACCCATCTTACGTTAACAAAATTCTTTGTTCAGGATCAATTATATTTATATGACACTAGAATTAGCGCTTAATATACTTGATTGCAAAATTGTATAAACAGATTTTTTCATTACAGATCATCATATCGTTTCGTCAAAAATTATTAATTTTTTAAAACACTCAGTATTTACAAGGAAAAATCCAGTCAAATCTTCCTTCAATTATAATCTAATAGACGATTCAAAATGGTCCAAATTCAGAAATAACTTGGATAATAATTTGAATTCCAATTCATTGAAACACATCTCATCCAATACCGCCTGATCCCAAAGTCTTCTCAACTCCTCTTGAGATCTTTTTCAAGATTCTCTTATCTCTGTGGCAAAAAATGTATTCCAATACATAAGGCAAAAAATTATCACTCTTCAAAAAAACCTGTCACCCTATCAAAGATTTACAATGACCTTAAATTACTTCATCGTTTTGAAAAAATAACAAAAAAGTATCTGAATAACCTTTCTGTAAATAACAAATGGAACAACCTTTATTCACAATTTTTACAGCTTACTCATTCCAATAGTTTAAAAATAATTCTTATTTATTGTCCTTCTCACGTCATAATGATCAATACTGTTCTTCCAGATATAAAACTTCTTCTAGCTAGTTTAAAAGTAAAAGCAGAATTACATGAATACAATTTCAAACTCAAGAGTATCCAAGAAGCTTTAGACGCCTGTGTTGAAGATTATAAACACAATCCATTTCAGATGATTGACTCAGTTATTAATCGCAAAAAAACCACTATTATATTGGATAGATGCATTGATAATTCATCTTCATCTCGTCATCTACTCTTTAAAGAACTGGATGTTAAAAAAGAAGTTGCCAGACATTTCTAACAAGTTGCTGGCTCTACGCATCATACTAAAGAGATTCCCAGGGATTGGATTTCTACGTACACACTATTAGACTCGATTAATTCACGCATCTATAATGACTTAATGTTCTTACTTTCTGCGGATGAATGGTATAGAATCATTGAATGACTTCTGAATAACAAGGCCCCAGGACCATCAAAAATTTCAAATGAAATGTTAAAACATTTAGAACCGTTCACAAAAAAATGTCTATGGTATATTATATGTGACTGTCTGCAAATTTTGTCAATACCTCATCAATGGAATTTGGCATATATTTACCTGATCCCTAAACCAAAACCGTAGGAATATGATTTAAATAATACCCGTCCAATAACATTATTAGAAAGCACTCAGAAAGCTTTTGTTCGTCTGCTCAATTCAAGACTCATAGATATCTTTGTACAATATAATATTCTGAAAGGATATAATTTTGCGAGTCTACCTTTTAAATCCACCTTTGACCTCATACATCTTTTTGATAATATCAAACAGAACGCAATTTATAATAATACGGAATTATGAGTCTTATTACAAGATATGTCTAAAGCATATGATCGTGTGAATTTCTTTACTCTTGCTGTAGCTCTTGTAAGATTACGCCTTCTCTACAAATTTATCCAAACAATTTTGAGACTTTTTCTCCTCAGATTCAACCAAGTCTTCACAGCTCACGGCAATTCTGATATATACTTAATACATTTAGAAATAGATCAAGACGAAGTAATATCACCACTTTTGTGGTGTATATACTACAATCCACTTTTATGCGCTATCAATAATTCTCCACATGGATTTGTTATAAAGGTCGAATGGTATCCTGATGCCTATCTTCCTATTACTAATAACTCTCATCTAAAAATTTTAGCACTCACTTATATAGATGATACACTCTGGCTCACCAAATCCAGAGAAGACCTCACAAATATTACATCTATTGCAAACAGTTTCTTCACTTTTAACGATATACAAGTGAATTGGTCAAAATCAGAACTTTTGGTCAACATTTCCTAACAGCGTCCTTTTGAAATCAGTTATGCTAATACTACATAGTCGATCAATGCGCTTTCTCCAAAAGCTAGTATTCGTTACTTGGGTATTTAGATCTCACTCAAGTCTAACAAGAATTTTATTTATAATCAGATACACAGTGAAATCAAGAAAGCAGTTACTATTATGAAGCATAAATGTCTAACTGACTCACAATTAATTTACATTTTTAATACCATTCTCCTTCCAAGAATCGAGTACAGGTCTCAATTCACATTGCCATCTGAATCACAATGCAAAAGCTTTGTCGCTACCTACTTAGCCTTTGTCAAAAGAAAACTAAAACTTTCCAGACATACCCCGACAGATTTGTTCTATTCACATTATTTTTATAATCTGACCTCTTTATATCAAAGATTAATCCAGAACTTTAGCAATGCTCTACTACAGATGTCTAATGAAACAAATATACTTGAAAAATCCTTTCATTTATGTACTCTTCAACTACAACAGAAGAAATGGCTTTTTGATAGTCCTCTTTTCTACTGGCCCTTCTCAAAAACAATACGAGCTGATGATTTGCTCCTATCTCTCCTTTGCGATCTCAGGTTAATGAAGCTCAAACTTAATGTACCTTCAGCTTTATCAAATAGCATTGTAGGAGGAGACTTTCCAATTTTCGAGTTTTTAAATTATGAATATAGAAAGCATGCTCCTGGGCTGCGAAAGTTCTCATTGCTTTTCATGAAACAACTTACTAATTATCAAGGAACTTATATATTCACATTTGTGATCTGTATACTATCATGAATC